GGAAAAAACTTGGGAAATTTATTTTTATGCATTCAAATTATTTCATATAGTGTTTATTAAAGTAATTAAGCAATTTGTGATTAGATTCGAGCGAATTGGAGGTGGAACCGCGAGGTAAAGCGATAGTTGAGGATTAAGTGGATTTCAAGGCTTTGAGGTAAGTGTTTGGTTTAACTCTAGCTTGAGGGAATAGGAGTTGAGTCTTGTTGCTAGTTGCTATGTGATCGAGTACGATGTATAGGCATGGTGACGAGTATCTACACATTGGTATCTAGCATGACCGTGAGTCCTTATAATGTGATTATCATGAACTGATTGTGAATTTCATGTTTATTGGAGCATTTCTATATGTTGTGAATAACATGTGAATGGTGATATGATAATTTGATTCCTAGGAGCATTGGCTCGAACTGTGATACGAATATTGAAAGTATATGAAATGACTTGATTCATTGAGGTCCAGTTGTAGAACGAATTGCGAAAGTATAAGTGATAATTGAACCTCTGGAGCATCTGCTCGAGTTGTGAAAAGAATTGTGAAGTAAAAGTGAGAAAGAGGAGAGATCATTATGTTGCCCTCTTGGCGGGCTATTGTTGGGTTGTGATTCCTCTGCATTGTGTTCTTAACGGATACTAGGGTCGCTTAGGTTAATGTTTCCTTGTGTCATATGATGACTATAGTTATACATGGGTTGGTTGGGTGTGGTAGTCGGTTAGATATAACTGAGGTGGTCAAGTGTGGTAATAGGTTGGTTATAGCTGTGGTGGTTAGATGTTGGAACTAATGTGGTGGTTAGATGTTGGAACTAATGTGGGTATAGTAATTCCCTTGTTGGGATATTTGAGATAATGTTTTGTTCCCTCACTGGGATGTCGTTATATTGTTGTTTGTGACGGAATATGAGATATGAATTTCTTGGAGCTTGGGCTCTAGTGATATCGTGGAGTACGAAAAGAAAGAAAGGGAAAGAGTTACTGGTTATTCCCTTGCCGGACGTTTTGTTGATTCTGTTGTTGGTTTTTTTTTCTCTCCCTTGCCGGGATACTGAGATTATTAAGTTGTTTGTCATGTGTATTCCCTTGCCGGGATTTTCATTATTGTTTATTTACTCTCTTGCCCCGTATTTGTGACTGTGGTTTGGATGAGGAAATATGATCTTGGTGGAGCGGGTTGCACGCCGCAACAATGATATTGAGGATCGGGTTGCACGCCGCAACAATGATATTGAGGATCGGGTTGCACGCCGCAACAATGATATTGAGGATCGGGTTGCACGCCGCAACAATAATATGTGAGGGTCGGGTTGCACGCCGCAACAATAATATGTGAGGGTCGGGTTGCGTACCGCAACAATGATACATGATAAATGATATGGGTCGGGTTGCACACCGCAATAGTGGTATTTGTGGAGCGGGTTGCACGCCGCAACAATGGTAATTATGGAGCGGGTTGCACGCCGCAACAGTTATTTGATGCCCTGTGTTTATATTGAGTATTGATTCCTTGTTTATGGTGGATCTAAGTTGCTTTAGTTTATTACCCTGGATTACTGTTAATATTGTATCTCCCCACAGCATGATTCCCCCTCCCATATTGTTAATTGCTTTGTGTTCGATTTTCGCTATATATTTATAACTACACAGGTTTATGTGGTGTCCAGTCTAGCCTTGTCACTACTTCGCCGGGGTTAGGCTAGACACTTACCAGCACATGGGGTCGGTTGTGCTGATGCTACACTTCTGTGCATTTTTGCACAGGTCCAGGTTTTAAGGAGCAGCAGCAGTAGTACGGGAGCGGGATTTCATTTACACGAGACTGAGGTAGCCTTGCAGGCGTCCGCAGGCCCGACGTCTCTTCTTTATGTTCTCTGTTTTGACTGTTGCCTCATTGTTTTCGAGACAGACAGCTTATATATTTCTTTCATACCTTTGTATTTAGCATATTCTTAGTAGTTCGTGAGTAATGTGACACCAAATCTTGGGTAGAGGTTATTATTGACTATTCCGCATTTTGTTTCATATTTATAAGACATACTTCCGCTACTGTTCTTAGTAGATTTCATGTTCTATATTGATGCTACAAGCTGTTAAGATAATTGTTTATTGATGAAAAGGTAAATAAGTTGGCTTGCCTAGCTACCACGAGTAGGCGCCATCACGGCTCTGATGGTGGGAAATCCGGGTCGTGACAATGGGGGAAGAGAATGGGATGTATCAAAGTAGAGAGAAAGAAAATAGTGTAACTAAATAGCGTATTTAGTGGCTTAGGGGTAGGAGGTAACCAAAATTAGATATTTTGCTATAAACATTAAAAGGTATCTATAGTATATAATTTTTTTAAATGGTATTTATTTAAAATAAATAAGGTGTTAACCTTTGCTATAGGAGGTAAAAATTCCAATAATTTAAGGACTCAATTAAAAATATGTTATTTTTAACACGAAATGGATTCTTACACTAAACAAAAGAAAACTACCAATCAAACTAGAATGTAAAGGTAAAGAACTATATTAAAAGTGCAAACTATTAACATTTACCATAAATTTTTTGAAACTTTGTATAACAATATATATATATATATATATATATATATATATATATATGTGTGTGTGTGTGTGTGTGTGTG